TNTGAGCTGGGTGTGTATATATCTTATGACCTATTTTATGTAGAACATTGAAACTTGGAACACAACAAGACAATTTGAATATGAATTAACCTATGACAAAAAAGTTGAGGTGGGCGTGGCACATCCGGGTTGAATTACTAATTGTTTACATTTTGGGAAAGGGGCATAACTCGCATAGGATACATTTGTTCAAAAAGGAACTTTGCACACAATTACCTCATTATTTTGGCCAGTTTGTGTTATTAGGTCAATTGTTTCAGCTTTATATTTCCAAAAAAGGAACGGGTTTTGAAATTTCCATATTTTCAATTTTCTATTTTGACCTTTATTGACTCTTGTTGACCTATATCTTTTGACCTGTATGATGTAGAAGCTTTAAATTTGGAACACAACATAACATTCAGAATATCAATTAACCTATGCAAAAGAAATTGAGGTGGGCGTAGCACATCCGGGTTAAATTACTCATTATTGACAATTTTGGCAAGGGACATAACTCGCAAGGTATACATTTGTTCAAAATGGAACTTTGCATACAATTACTTCATCCGTTGAGCCACGTTGTCTTAAAGTTCGTTTGTTTTAGCTTTATAGTTCAAAAAAAGGAACAGGTTTTGAAAATTCTAAATTTTCAATATTTGACCTTGACCTTTTTTGACCCTGATTTTTGTAGGATCAAAGGTCATTCACATTGGCTATCTATTTATACTTTTATATTTGCTGTCCTATCTCAACTTCCGGTTTTATAGCCCTATATATTTAAAAATTTTGATGACTTGTATCTCGTAATCTTGACCTTTGTTGACCGTCTCCCTTTCAATGTCAAATGTCATTGACCTTGGCTATCTTCTGATACTTTCATTTGTGAGGTCTGTCTACTTCCGTTATAGCAATCTTCCAAAAAATTCTTCTCAACTTTAGACTGATCTTGCGCGTGATGTAATTATCGTAGAAGGTTGATTTTTTCAACATTTGCAAAGTCCCACTCTGTGCCATGTGTGGCTCTAGTTTATTATTTTTTTTATTTACTTGTATTGCTATAAACATGAATGAGTTGTGCACTTGCCTTTAAACTGAATAAATTTATTATTATTATTATTATACCAAAATATTCGCCATAATTTCACGTTTCTACTTACAAGAATATAATGTTGCATAGCTTAGATTATTTCATACCTCAAAGGTTGGGTTCAAATCTTAAATTGACAGTAAAATGGTGAATTCAGAATT